CATTGCTCCGTACATCTTCGGCTACCAGGACGTTTTGTATGGAGCCCGGACGCCATCCAACTCGGCCCAGATGCGCGATCTTCTGGCCCTCCACGCCACCAACCACGTGCTCAAGACCCGCGATCGAGTGCTCAAGAACAATACACGTTTGGCCAAAGAGCAAGACGCCGACATTGATGTCCGAGACCAGGGCTTCACTCGGCCGAAGGTACTTTATCTCTTGCCTACCAAGCAGGCTTGTGTGCGGGCCGTCGAGTCCATCACGCGCTTCTTCCAACCCGAGCAACAAGAAAACAAGAAACGTCTCCTCGACACCTTTTCGGCGGCTGACGACCCGTCATGGGAGAGCAAGCCGGACGACTTCCGCGAGCTCTTCGGTGGCAATGACGACGACATGTTCCGTCTGGGTCTCAAATTCACCCGCAAGACTGTCAAGTATTTTGCGCAATTCTACACCTCCGATATGATCCTGGCCAGTCCACTGGGTCTACGCACCATCATGGACCAGGCAGAGTAAGTCGACTAGCTCAACCCTCGAGTCTAGAACGTTCTATCTAACCCTCTCACAGTGTAAAGAAACGCGATCACGACTTCCTCTCGTCTATCGAAGTAGTAATCGTCGACCACGCGGATGCATTGCTCATGCAAAACTGGGATCACATCGACTACATCATGAAGCACCTCAACCTGCAGCCCCGAGAGGCACACGGGTGTGATTTCAGTCGTGTACGGACATGGTACCTGGACAACAACGCGCGGTATGTGCGGCAGATGATCATGCTCACTTCATTCGTCACTCCGGAGATGAACTCGGTGTTCTCGACGCACATGCACAACACCTCGGGCAGGGTCAAGGCCACGCCGATCCACGCGGGCGCGATTACCGAGCTCCCCCTCCCGGTGTCGGTCAGGCAGACATTTACCCGCTTCGACTGTCTCTCGCCGGCGAAAGACCCCGATGCGCGGTTCAAGCACTTCACCACGACCATCCTCTCGTCGCTGGTGCGCGACATTGCCTCCGGTCGCGGCAAGGCCAGCGCCGGCGGAACCCTGATCTTCATCCCGTCGTACCTGGACTTTGTGCGCGTGCGTAATCACTTCGCCACGTCGCAGCAGACCACCAACGTCTCCTTTGGAGCCATCTCCGAATACACCGAGCAGCGGGAGGCGGCGCGGGCTCGCTCGTATTTCATGAATGGGCGCCAGTCGGTGCTGCTGTACACGGAACGTCTGCACCACTTCCGTCGGTACCAGCTCCGCGGGGTCAAGCGGATCATCATGTACGGCGTGCCTGAGAACCCGGCGTTCTATAGCGAGATTGTCGGGTTCCTGGGATTGGATCCAGCGGCGTTGGTCGAGGCGGCCGAGGGAGGTGTGCGGGCGTTGTTCTCCAAGTGGGATGCGCTGAAGCTAGAGCGGATTGTGGGCACGCAGCGTGTGGGCAATATGATGCGCGAGAAGGGAGGGGATACTTTTACGTTTATGTAGATCATATATACTAGGATCTGTATAATTTATTTGTATACTGTTGAGACAAACCAACAACTACTTAACACAAAGTCGGGGCACGGACCTTGAGGAATTGATAAAGTTTGATCCCTGCTGCTCACATGCAGATGCACATCTCATTGAATTTCCATGTTGGCGTCATATCCGCCCATGTGTTCTACTCCATGATGTGATATCGCAGCACATCCGTGGACCTTGTGTTAGTGTCACTTCAACAAATATATATCTACCTAGGCAGCTACTTAGATATTTAGTAGATCCGATAAGCGCACCACAACCAAGGAAGCATTCCCATGCACAGCCAGCAAACCCCAAGGATACCTGCATAGCATTTCAATCAGATTGTTATGCTTCCTGAACAATACAATACATTCTCATATCCTCTTTCCAACAGCACACTCAATCAATCGATATAACAACATAAGAACAGTAAGATTCGGACAAAACTCCCCTCCAAACCGAAGGGTGTCACAAGGGCCCGATTAGTCATGCAACAAAAACCAGGCCGATCGCGGCTCTAAAAGCAGTTTGGTGTCACGGGCTTATTTTGACTGGGATTTATTATTTTCTTCTTTTGATTAATAAATCAAAAAGTGATATCGTCGCATTCCAGTGCTCTTCCAGCCGGTCTGTTGACTTGCAAGTTTTTCTTCCTCTCTCCAAAGGGGCGCAGGGATACACTACTTTTACTTATTTTTCTTATTTCATCCATGAGTACATGAACGATTAAACGATAATTCAAACCATTTTGTTTTTCATGAATTTATGATTTACGAAGAAATAAGGAAATCAAAAACACGAAACTCACCAAAGCAAAATAAAATCACTTAACCTGGAACCACTGGAATAAAAATGTCTCTGAATCCATCTGACGCAAGGGGCGTCAACTCGACCGCGGGTGAAGAAACTCAGCAACAGTATGTAACTTTACTACCGGCTCAGAACAATCAAGTCGATGAGCAGCAGCAGCAGCACGTTGTCTATTCAGAGCAGACGCCACTGCTTCATTCGGGACATGGACATGTTTCTGCCTCTGCTTCTTCAACAATGCAACACTGCTCAACTCAGCCATGGTGGAAGACGGCGCAGCAGGTATCCTGCGATGTCTGGCTGCAGGGTAAGGGCATGATCTTGGTCATGTTCGCGCAGTTCTTTGGCGCGTCGATGAATGTCATGACGCAGGTTTTGGAAATCAAGGGTCGTGATGGGAAGGGGTTTCATCCGTTTCAGGTGCGTTTCTATATCACCTACCTATCTGCTGGATAGCTAGCTACCTAGTAGATTGATGATCTACTGTGTGTACTGGTGTAGGGGACGCCCACTCGTGGGGGCTCCCTCTAGTTGAAGACGCTAGATATCCCTGCTCAGGAACCCGGCTGATCCCCCGTACTACAGATCCTGTTCGCCCGCATGTCTATCACTGTTCTCGCTAGTTACCTCTACATGTGGTACGCGCGAGTACCGCATCCGTTTGGAACGCGCGAAACCTTTACTCTGCTGATGCTGCGCGCTGGAGGTGGATTCTTCGGCGTCTACGGGCTCTACTACTCCGTTCAGTATTTACCGCTCTCCGAGGCGACCGTGGTGACTTTCCTAGCGCCGATCCTGAGCTGCTATGCTTGCTCGCTCTTGATCCCCAACGAGACCTTCACGCGCAAGCAGCAACTTGCCGGACTGGTCTCGCTGGCGGGTGTCGTTCTCATCGCTCGGCCGTTCCCGTTCATGCGCTCGGGCGCCGACTCCGAAGAACCGGAGCAAGGCGATAAGCCCGGTGCCACCGATAGCTACCACCACGTGCTGGCCATCGTGGTGGCTTCGTTCGGAGTGCTGGGAGCCTCGTGTGCGTACACCACGATCCGAATGATCGGACAGCGCTGTCACCCGCTCGTCTCAGTGACTTACTTTTCCTCATTCACGACGGTCGTAGCTACACTGGCGATGCTGGTCATGCCCTCGGTTCCGCTGGAGCTGCCGGGAACGCTGTGGGAATGGACGCTGCTTCTTGGGCTGGGTGTTAGCGGATTCTTGCTGCAGTTCCTGCTCACGGCAGGTCTGGCGTATGTGCCGCCAGTGCGGAAGACCAAGCCCAAGACTTCGGTGGAGTGGGATCGGGACTATGGCACGCGCGACGAGGAGGAGGAGGAGGAGGCATCAACGAAGCCAACATCGTCCGGATCGCGGGCTACTTTCATGCTGTACACACAGATGCTCTTTGCCGTGTTCTACGACCGGGCGATCTGGGGTAGTACGTTGTCGGCGGTGAGCTGGGCGGGATCGGCGCTGATCCTGGTGAGCGCGATGTATGTGGCCATGGCGCGAGAGGGCGCAAAGGGAACCGCATCCGAGGAGAAGGAGGGAGGAGATCAAGAGGGCACAGACGAGAACCGGGCTGGAGTGGCTGCAGAAGCGCGTCTGGAGGAGGGCGGGGAAAGACAACAGAGCGGGGGTCGCGCATGAGGCGTTTTGCAAATCGCGCGACGATCTGAGGGATTTGCCTGAAGTTTTTTGGAGGGAGGGGGAAGTAAAAAGGAAGCAGGTCGGCGTCACAGTGCATAGCTCGACAGCGGAGGGAAGAGGTTGAGCGATGCCACATGTCGATAGGGGGAGAAAGGGCTCATATTGCATAGCATACTGGCGCAGAGCATAGCAGTATATACAAAGGACATATAAAGTCACTAGTTATGGGGTAGTGATTGATTTTGATAAATTGATTGATAGCAGTGAAAGTGAGGCGGTCGAATGCAGTGATACTCCCATACTAAGTATACGCTAGTAAATGATGCCAGTCCGCAAGTGGCAAAGTGTCTAGAGAGCTCCACTCCAATGGGCATCCCCAATTGCTTTTGAGGGCTGTGATTGGTCGTAATGTGGAAAAGTGGCTGAAGCTCTTTCTGGATTGGGATTGTGATAGGCTCGCTTCAATACTCTTACCAGACTAATACTGATACTGACGGAGATAGTGGAGGGAGGGCAATCCGGGGATATCACTTCTTCTTATACTACTCTTTACTTTGTTCATGTAGCATCTCTACGTGGCATTTTCAATTGGAACAACCCAGAATACAACTATCCTCATTCTGCACTTCAACATCAATACTACCAAGTACCACCACCACTACTACGACAACCGGAGCACTCTGATCCTACCGGCGAGCTTGACTGCAGCATCCCTGCATGTGAACCAGTTGATTGGCCGCCACCACGTCATAAGGTTGCACTTGAGACCGTGCTGTTCCGATTCTCGAATATTAACTAATTTATTACTTTATACTCTTCTTATATGTTGCTATTATCACTTCGTACTTCTTTCTATCTCAGTGTGTATCTGCATTTTCCACTACTAAACTAGCTTATATATAAGCTAGTCCTGTCATTCTTTCTCTATACTCCTTCATATTCATACACCTTTTAGACTTTCATTCTACTACACTTTATCCATACATCTAAACCACTAGACTAGACAAAGATATATACTCATTAAAATATACAAAATGCGCCACTTCGACACCTGGATCCTCCGCGACCCCTACTCCATCTTCCACTACTATCCCACAGGCAAACGATGGCCAGAAACCATTCGCGAATTGATTCAATCTCGTCAAATATGCAGTCCTCCATCTACATCCACATCCAGCGACAACATCATACCATCCGCAGCAGCAGACAGCACCTCCCAACCAACAAGCAGCTTCTTCCAACGTCTGCCCCCAGAAATCCGCCTCATGATCTACGCCTACGTCTTCAACGACTCCCCCAACACCAGTCCCAGCCCCAATGACACCACTACTACAAACACAACCATCCACCTCGTCCAAATCCGCAACAAAATCCACCACGTCCGATGCACACATCCCTCCCCACTCGACAAACACCGACAATGCTGTCCCCAAACCATGGCCAGATGGCGCACCTCTCCCACCACAATCCCCAAACCCATCATCACCACCACCACCACAAACCCTCCCAAAGGGACATCTCCAGCAAAAGCCCACGATACAAACAGCACCCTCTACCCACACACGCACCCTTCCCTCCCCACCACCCTCTCCCACAACACCACCTCCCCCCTCCTAACCTGCCGAGCAATGTACCTCGAATCCGCCCCGCTCCTCTACTCCCTCACAACCATCGACACAGACGACCTCTACACCTTCCTCTCATTCATCAACACCATCTCCCCCCATCTCCGGAAGTACATCAAGTCCCTCACAGTGCAATACACACCGATCTGGCAGCCCATGGCGGGCCAGGAATATCCGTTTTCAGTGTATACACATACGCACAATGATATGCTCTGGGGTGGGTTCTGGGATGCCGTGGCGAGGAAGTGTCCCGGGTTGGAGAGGGTCAGGTTAGGGCTGGATTTGGGGACCGTGTTTGCGGTTAATAACCATGTAGGAGGAGGTGGGGGGATGTCGGTGACCGGGGGGAATATGGTCAGTTTTGGGACTGAGGAGGAGTGGGTGAGGCCGTTGTTACAAGTACGGGGATTGAAGGGGTTTGAGTTGGGGGTTATGGTTAGGTGTGATCGGTTGGCGAGACGGGTGTTGGAGAATGGGTTGGTGAGAGACGTGCAGGTGCTTAGGGAGAGGTTGGTGGAGGTGATGTGTCGGGAGAGGGTTGATGGAGTTATGAGTGATGAATGGGAGGAGGGTGTGGTGGGTGCAAGGAGGGGAAGGTTGGCTATTATGGCTGCTTGAGGGGAAGAAAGTGATGTTTAAAGCGGTTTGTTGCATGATAGATACCCTGTTTTGTTGTTTGTGTGCACGGTAGAAGTCGTTGGTTAGACTGATTACTATATATACTGCATCCCCATACTGCTACTACAACTTTCCCATATCCATGAATGAATTAGCCCTTCTATCAATCAATCTAGCTGTACATTACCATCCATCCATCCATCCATCCATCCATCCATCCATCTCATGCCCTGAATAAGAATTGAAAAGATATGCAATTTACCAAAAAATAACCCAACCAACCAACAATAACCACCAATCCATCCCAACATCCCATTAAACATACCAATCCAGACAATCATTACTCATTAACTCGGTCAGAAAGGCAAAAAGAAATATCAAATAAAACGTCTATTCCTTTTCTTTTTTTTCCAACGCTACCGTGAGCTAATGAAAATAAAGTCCTCGCTTAACTTACATCGATCGTTGCAACAAGTCAGAACACAGACCTCTTCACCAGTCTGGGGTCTGATGAAAAAAATCGTAGATGATCAATCAATCAATCAATCAACCGTGATGCTGCTCATGCTCCTGCTGTTGAAGCTGCTGCTGCAATGCTTCCGTGCTGCGTTCCACCTCCGAATCGTGCTCTTCCTCGCTGGTGGGCGATGGTGCCCGGCTGCCCACGAGAGAACGGCGACTGCGCATCTACATTGGGGTCAAAATTAGTCAATGCAACAGAGTAGTAAGAATCATGCACCTACCCATGCGCGAACACCCCCAATCAATCCCAAACTGTAGCCCGTTGCGAAGTCCGGCTCGTTCCGACCGTTGCCGATTGTGCTCTCCGGACGTCCCAGAGCCTCTACCCGAGAAACATGCGCCTTGCTGCCCAGCACAGGACTGGTGACACCGCTGCGCGAGCCGCCCAGATCCACGCTGTTGCGCGCGCTCGATAGCGGGCTGTTGGGCCGGCTGTTTTGCCAGAACTGACGCAGCTCCCGACCCAATTCCTGGCCTGTCGTAGTCCAGTTAGACCGGATGCTGTCCCGGAGCTCATTCACGTGACGCTTGATCTCCAGCTCATTCTTCTTCAACCATGACACGTTCAGTTCCTGTCGTGAAGCACCACGCTTAAACTGTCGAGAAATGTACTGGTCGTAGTCGCGAACAATTCTGTATTGGAATGAGCCCCCATCCAAGCATAGCCATCGAGCAGCACAACTCACCTGGTAATAATTCCCGTTGTGCTCACACCCTCTGTCCGCTGTGTAGCCAAGAACTTTCCTTGAGCCTTGATCGGCGCATAGATATCATCTCCCTCATCCGCACCATATGGTAGATCATCATGCGCAACGTAATCAATCTGGTGGTCGTCGATGAATTCCGGCGTCACAATCCAAGGGCAATTGGGAATCACTTCATCCACCCATCTGCAATGACGGATGCTTTCTGCGCGCTCGGCACCGCTCAGGACCGTCAGTCCCTTGCGCTTATGTGTTTCCTCGTCTCCGGTCACTCCGACGATCAAATGCACGTCAGGGAACGCCTTCTTCGCTTGTTCCAACTGTCGCATGTGTCTGCACACCTCATGGTTAGCACTCCTGTCCACATAAGCCAGATGGCCGATACATACCCCACATGGAACAGATCAAACACGCCGTCCGCATACACACGCACCGGCCGTCCCGTTGGCGGAGGGTTGGTGTGATAACCAACGGGGTCCTGAAGTCCAGCACGCGCGGGAGGGCTCATCAACGGCTCCGATGTGTCTACCTGCAAGCCCGGCCGGCTCTTGCTCCGACTCTCGATATCACTGCTGGCCACGGTGGTCTCTGATGGCTCGCCCGGATCCTCCTTGCTGAGGGCCGATGGTGCGTCGGGGAGATCGCCATTGGAAGCTGGAACGTGACCTTCACTGGTGGACGCCTTGCGGGCCCGTTTGGTGGGCGGAACGGTGCCGGCAGAGGTGACATCGAGAGACGATTGCTTCTTGTGCTTGCTGGGCAAGGGAATGGCGGAGCCTGTGGACTCGTCGCCTTCCTCACCGGACGCATCGCGAGAGGAGGGTTGCAAAAGTTCTGCAGGGGATGGAATGGCGGCATTGGCGGAAAGATGTTGGGAACCGCTGCGCTTGCGTTTAGTCGAAGATTGGGGGGAGGACATGATGGCCGACCGAGGGAGCACAGCTCGACTTCTGTCAATAAAAAAAAATTACACGGAAATGAAGAAGCTGAGGAGGAGGAGCGGCGAAAGAGTAGGAGGATAAGAAATTAATCCGCTTGGCGACAGGTGAGACAAGAGGACAGAAAAGCAGGACGGAGAGGATGTGGAGGACGGAAGAGGAGTGTACGGGAGGGCCCGGGGATGGGATCCAAAGCACAGAGGAGAAGATGAAATCCCTCAACAAACCATGGGGGGGGGAGATGGTGGAGAGGGGGGAGAAGAGGGAGGAAGAGAGAGAGAGAGAGAGAAAGAGTAAGAAGAGGAAGAAGAAGAGGAAGAAACTAGAGCAGGACCCTTGACAGACGGGCGATGGAGCAAGCAAAGACAAGGGGAAGAAACCGACCGAAAGTATCGCGGATCCGAAACTAGAGCGCAGACTAAAAAAGGCAAGAATCTCAAAATCTTCCCGACCGGGAATATTGATTCATGTATGGTACCTTACTCAAAACTCGACTGATCACCTCCGATAGAACTGACCGCTTACCAGTAAATGGGTCGCTAATGACCGCGAGAAACTGCTAATTACTGCTAGATACTGCTAAATTACTGGCATTGCCCACAGTGGGGAAAGCAAGCAAGACAACTGACCGTCACGTATGGTCCTGCCCCAACCATCATCGCCCATCACGGGACTCCGGCGGGCCCTCTCATTCGCCCGGTCCTGCCAAAGTACCATACGGTGTACCTCAATCAGGCCTTTTTTGCGAAGTACTGTACTTAGCTACCTACTAAGTACTAGATCCATCCTACGGACTCCTCTTTCACTATAACTACGCGCATCCCCACATCTCTTGTCGCAATTGACTTCCGGATGGTGTCAAGACTCCTGCACAGCCAACGTTTCTATATGCATACGATATAATTTAGAACGAAAAAGGAGACAAAAGATTCAACATACACGGCTCGCTTCCATCCCGGTTCCAGAAACTCCGCTGCTGAAGCAAGCATTCGACGAGTTTGCCTTACCCGACCCCGGACTTATAAAAACTGTACGTCATGCCATCATGGAATATTTCTCCCCCCGGGACGCCATACATGGTGTGCAACTCCGCTATTTCCCTCCCCTCCCTGACGTGATCGATTGGTTACAACATACCAATGTCGCGCTCAAGCCGGGACATCGCAAGGGCTGTCCCGCCGGTAATTTCCAGGCTGCAGCTGAGGTGGACACGGCATCGCATCGTCAAGGAGCAGGGAAGACACAGACAATAAGATAGAGAAAGAAAATTGGGACAATCATGGAAAATATCATGGTTCATCAACAGTGGGCGTTTTGTGCGGTATCTTGTTCATGGCATGAAACAGACGTACTCTCGTGAGGCCGGCCGCTCGCGGCTCTGCAATAAAACTGGTAAACATAAACGAAACCCTCCGACCCGATTCCCATGCATCCACCCCGCAACCAATGCCGAAATATTGAGTGACTTTGGACTTCCTTCTCGTAAAAAAAGGTCACCTCGCGATTGGGTTCCACCGCCTCTGAAACCACTAGGCCATTTCGAAAGGGAGTAAGGCTGGAGTATGATAAATAGAAGGGGGGAGTTCGACGTGAGGAAGCTTGACGCTTCTGAAGGGGCAAGGCAGAAAGAAGTCCACGTAAATGTAAGGAAATAGGTAAAAACGGGGCACAGTCGTAGAATCACACAAGGATGGTTTTCAAAGAACCAAAATAAGGAAAAAAGGAAAAGGTAACAAGCGCGGCAAGGGTAGACAAGGAAATAGGAAAAAAAGAAAAGACACATCAAGAAGAAATGCAAGAGATCCATCATGACTACGAACTCGTAGGCTTTTGCGGCGTTCCAGGGGCACTGCCGGACGAACCCTCCGCGGTGGTAGACGGCGACTCCGATATCTCAGCGGCGTCCGTTCGGGGAGTGTCCTTAGACTGAGGCCCAGGAGTTCCCACCCGTTCATTCCGAGCCGCATCAGGTGAATCACGGTGCACCTGATTGACAAGGTCCTGGTCTTCCTCAGCCTGATCAAAGAGTTCGTCATCGTTCTGTTCCGGAATCAATTCAGTGCCGTCCCCCAAGAGGATGATGCGGCCAGAGCGGACGCTGAAGCCACGCGCACGGTCGTTTTCCATGTCAAAGTCATCCGGGTTCTCCTCAAATTGATTCCGGATACCGGGGCCGCGGAACTCAGCTGCACCCCCCGTTCAGTCAGTAGGGATTGGAATTGGAGGCCGTGGGATCCTCGAGAGACTTGCCGTACTCGGGCGGAGCGCAAGGGCCGTCGCCGTTCGCCACGCGCTCAGCGATCTGGTTGTACCACTCCTCTTTGGTCCTACCGTTAAGGAGACCGATGATAACCATCGTCATGTTGTCACAGCCAACACCACCGGTTTCACTGTTGGAGGCCAGGCAGTTGTCCATCATGTTCTCACAGATCCGATACAAGTCCTGCTTCGCGGCAATCCCACGGCGGACGAATTCTACCACTGATTGGGAGGACTGACAATCCCAGATACCTGCATTCCGAAAAGTTAGCGATCTCCGAGACCCTCGCTCCCTTAATCACCAGAGAAAGACCCACCGTCACAGGCAATTACGAGGAACTCGTCATCGTCACTGAGATCGTGCACAGTGACGTCGGGATAGGCAGTGACGATTTGCTGCTCAGGAGACAACTCGGGGCTCTTCTTGAACTCGAAGTCACCAATGGCCCGCGACAGGGCCAGGTTGCCGTTGACACGGCCAAAGTCAACGAAACCACCAGCAGCGCTGATACGAGCCTTCTCGCCTATATTTGGTCATGTCAGCATCACCAACGCAGGTCGTTAATTGAGATGTAGGGTCTGTACCTTCGTTCTGAGGCTTGTGGTCAAATGAAAGAGGCTTCGCGCGGCCCTTGACACCCAGGACAGAGCGAGAATCACCAGCATTGGCCTAGAACCAGTCAAAAAACATGAACCGAACCCATCGTTGTTTCCAAACCGGCCATGGCTAGAATACATACCACCCAGATCTTGTGCTTCGAGATAACGCTGACGGCTGCGGTGCAGCCAGACACTTCCTCCTCATACTTCGGGTCTAGCCGGGTCAGTCCGTTGCTACCTCGGAGGGACAGAAATCAAGAAGGAGAGGGAGAGGCGGGTGGGAGGGTTGCCCGAACTCCGATCATAGCGCTCACGAACCTTCCAAAATAGCCCGGTCGGTAGCGAGGAAGCCATCCTTCAGGGCCTGTTCGATATCACCTTTGGCAAAGGAGTCCTGCTTCGCGACAATCTTGTGGACGTTCTCTCCGGCGAATAATGCTACTTTGTCTCCACCGTGCCCGTCATATACACCGAAGAAAGCGAGTCGTTTATCGGGGTCGGTCGGCTTTTCATCCTGGTCCGAGTACTTGGCCTGCAGGTCGAGGACGGCAGCATGGGCATCCTCCATGCTGATTCGCCAACCCTGCATGGCGGAAACACCGTATATACAGCACTCATCTTGACCTTCAGCGGAAGTCTAGATAGCACCGGAAGTGGTTAGTGAGGATGTAGGAAATTAAGGAGAGATCCGGAACACAATGGAATGGTGACAGGTCATCCGCCCGAAATCGCGTGCAGGAAATTTTCATCATCCTGTGGAGGAACCCCGCAGGGGAGGGATGATCACCACATTGCAGGCGCGACACACAAGAGGAGGAATGAAAAAGAACGCTGTAGGATATAATAATGCTGGGCAGTGAACATGTTTGACAAAAGGATACAAAAAGGGGAGAATGGGCGGGTATGGCACAGAATGGCAGTTGTGGATGGTGGACAGATTAGAATGGCGTAAGATGCGTGCAGTGTGGGGGAGGATCAAAGGACCAGACAGGCAAACGCAATGCTTCAGGTTTCACTCACCTTATCGACCACGGGCTCGGACAAGGTCTGACCCATGATTTCTAGTGGATCACAATTAAACTGTTCACGCAGAGAAAAGGCCCGTTACAGACATACACACACCACCGAGGAGGGGAGGGGGAAAGAATAGAGGAAGAGAAAAGGTGGAAAACCCGGCGGATTCTTTTTGGGGGGGAAGACGAGGGGAGGGGGATGGGGAGGGAAGAGGCAGCAGATCAGGTGAAAGAGAAGAGATTAGGTTGGCTTTGAGGGCAAGGGCAGAATGACTATTCGGGAGGCGGCAAGCGGGAATGGAACCAGCAGAAAAGCGTGAGCAGAACTGATGATTGGGATGGTGGAGGGAGAGAGGGGGGAAAGGGAAGCTAGTAGTAGTAGGGAGAGAGGGGACCAAAGTGTGTGAGGATTTAGTAGTGTGTGTGTCTCCGGACTGCTGTGGAAGGTTAGTTAAGTTCCGGACTCGGTGGTGTAATAATAATAACAGCACCTACTACTACTAGTAATTAACTACTAATACGTAGTAGTAGTGGTAAGCGGTAGTGGGAGTGGTGTAGGTACGTAGTAGCCTGTCTGCCTACCTATCATTCGGGGGAGTGGGGAAAGCCCGATTCAACGATGACGATAGCTCTGAAATTGGGCGAGAAGCAGGGTGATTGATATAACAGGCAAGATAGGTCAGACAATTGGGAATACTAAATAATGACACAAGGGACCGAGGCGAGGAACTGGTCCAAGTTAGGAGGAGATGGTGTCACAGGAAGGGGAAGAGATTTTCTGCACGATAATAAAACAGACTAATGGGCATCAGGCATTATCTGGCCATCTGTTAAGAGAGAAAAGAAAATCAATCACAAGGGCGTCAGCCGCAGGCAGACAGAGAGAGACAGCAGGCTGAAGCAGGCAGAGAGCAGCGCATGTACCTCCAGGGTACCTCCACTCCGTTGGGGAGAAAGGTAAGGTACTCTCACGGTACTTCCACCGTACCATTACAACCTGATCGCATGCGGCAGGCGGTAGGCCCGAAAAGGGAAGAGCCGGGGGAAAGTTTGCCAGTCGCGTGCCTTTTTCTGGATGCGGCAATTGAAAATAATTGAAAAATTGAATTGAAATTGAATAATGACGAAAACTCCTTGGCGTCGGCTGACCCGAACTTTTTCACCCATCAACTCCAGCCACAATTCGAGGTACTTCCCTCCCCCTACGTCTCTAGTATCTGCTGGAAGATAATAGATGATGTGCCTACCTGTTACAGCTCCTGCATAGCATCTCTACAGTATGAAACCCCCATTTAATTTGCAGGTGAAGTACGGATTATCCATTTAAAGACCTTCCGGTGGAGCTGACACTGTACGTACTAGTTAGCTCAGCCCATATCTACCTTCAAGCAAGAACGTCGTCCGTGCCACGTTTCCTATTGACTTTCAATGCCTGGTTAAATTGGAAGTTGGCAAGGTACCGGGGATCTGGGTTACTAATTATATGAACTACCAAAGGACTGGCTCGTGCTAAGATAAAGGAACTCTCAAAACGCGCTACTGATGGGTTATACAGTAGATCAGACCCGTGCATCTGGGTACGTGTCCATACATGCAAACTAAACCGCTCTGGTAAATACCCTCTTGCCGCCTATGTTCGACTAGAGGCCATCTATGAGTTCTGTCTATACCTTGCTTGCTTGCTTGCCTGCCAGCCAGCCAGCCAGTTGCCTACTTATTCCCCGACAGTCCGAACTCAAGCAGCTTACCTTTTAGCTCTTGCAAGGGGACTGGGGCTATTTAATTCAATTCGTGTCAATTCGGGATTTATCGAGGAACCGAGAAAACAGCATTGACCGACTTATGATGAGATACTGATAATACCCAGTAGCTTCAAAGGTCCCTTGTAAGCATTCGTTGTGTAGAAAGTGAGTACATAAGCGTGGCGGTTGGAGCGTGGTCATGTGGCAGGACGAGTGTCTTTGATCTAGTAGAGAGTCGCACCTGCTCTTCCTCTCAACTAATTCACTACTCCATACGTTCAAACCTCTTCCCTAGTGAACTGCCTTTCCCAGACCGCTCCCTAGAAGATTCCAGTAGCGATGCAATTGTGGATTATTACCATCCCACCCAAAGATCCAACCTTGAAATGGTCACATCTCGCTCTGCGAGCGATCGGTGTCCATCTTTTCTCTTCTAGCAAATAGGGAATTCTATACCACCACTACCAGTAAGTCCATTCAGGACTGACCATCGTTGCCCTGGGTATCTCCGCTTGTTCTCCCTTTCTGGGGACATTCAAGCTCGCGGTCATGCTCTTCTGTGATCAACCTTGATCACTTGTTTCTCCTACCATGCAGCTGACCTGACACTAACTGTCACCAACGGCCAGAGGATGATGGCTAGATCTAGCTCTGGGCTTGGAGGCAATACACTGTCAGGATGGTTGCTGCATACAAGATAAATCCTGCCATCCATGGAAGCCCCATCCACGCTCCTTCCCAGGCCATCCCTGCTCGAAATAATCCAGCTAGGAGTGGCCCAGATATCATGAGTCCAACTCCCTGTGTCAGAGTTATGGTCGTATTCAGGAGTCCAACATGCGATGACCCAACCAAAGCACTCCCGACGCTGCGCAGAGCGGCGCTGAACCCCCCTCCAAGAGCAACCAGAGCAACTCCTACAACGAACACTGCTGGATGAGATGCCACGGACATGAAGCCAAAAGCAGCCATTAACAGACATGCACAGCCTATGGCCACTCTAAGGTCTCTTTGCACGGGGGACAAATATCGGTCGAGGATCTTCGTAGCCATCGGAAGTACGAGCATCAAAGCGAAGCAATTAATGATCCCCTTGACGCATATGAGAAGGCTCGCCTTGGAAATCATATCAGCATACCTGAAACTTGAAGTATTTGTACATTTTGCCGAAATCTCATACCTCTGCTAAGCTCCATGAAAAGCGCTTGGAGACATATTGGAGCATGAAAGGAACTGCTTCAATGCCATAGCTCGAAAAGAGGAAGGCGAGGGAGATGACTAGGGCACTTGGATACTCGCCGATGAACTCATGCAGTTGAGCGAACTGTGAGCGAGTAAAGTGTACCACACTGGCCCATGTAAATGCCGATGGTAGCTTCAAGTGGCCTGCCATATCCGGCTGAACATCATTGACGGGGTTGACTGAGGGCTCCGGTTTAGTCTCCGGCAACAAGAGGATCGTAAACAGGCTACCAAATTCGCAGGCTAGTCCGAGCATCCAAGGGATCCAGGCGTTTGATGACATCAGCCAGGCGCTTAAGGGAACAGCAAGAATCTCTGACAGCAGTATAGCTGCCGACAAGATGAAATAGGTACTTGAACTGCAGGAGCCTTGATTAGCAAAGGGGATGTGAACAGGTTTAGCAAGATTTCACTACCGTTTCTCTACCGGGAAAACATCCGCGATGATGGTGAAAGCCACTGAGGTAGCTATCTGAGAACCGCCACCAAGAATCTGAAAGATTGGTGTAAACCAAATAGCTCGTGGGGGGATGGTCGCATAATACCAGGCTTTCACATTGGAGTTAGCCTGTCCCTCCACGTCGCAACATCAGCTGAACTTACCGATGACTCTGATCGCCATCTCTTGCAAGACACACCCAGCCAGGCTTAGAAATAAGACTGGTTTACGACCAACGCGATCTGCCATGAGTCCATATGGAAGCGCCAGAATAATGCCCGGAAGCTGGTCAAAGGTGCTCATCCAACCTTTGAGCAACGCCAGCTCACCCTGCACATCAGCAGTCTTGCAAGCCGAAGGAACCACTGAAGGGAGAACCCCGCCAGGGTTGCTATCAAAGACCTCCGGATGCAAGCGCTGGCAGATATTCAACTCGAATATCTGAAGTTGGGGAGCAACGGAAATGTAGTTGCCGATATCGACAGTGACCGCTATGAGGCACGCAAGAAATAAGACCTGCTGGGCTCTACGCGTAACACTTTTTGGCTGCACAGGAAGTTCATTGTGCTCAGCTAAGAGAGAAGTTGTCTCAGAGGGTGTTTCTGGCTGTTCGGCAGCAATGGTCATCATGAAGGAATCCCAGGCTTCAGATGAAGAGGAATGCTTCAAACTCAAGGGCCAAGAGGCTGAGGGAAGGAATAAGAACCCCCCTCTGTCCCAGAAATGATGATAAGGATGGGCTTTGATTAGCCTCATTCCCAAATGACGCTAAAAGGAACGGCCATGGCGCTGGCCAAAGGATCCGACGCATCTTACTGGGAGCTAAATGGATCAGTCGGTGACACATGGGCGCTTCTCCGATGTCCGATAAGCGGGAACAAGGGTTTACCGCTGTTTACTGGCCCATTGTTCTGCTGACCCAATGCAAGTGATATATTAAATGGATTGATTATTTAGCTACACACTACTGGGTACTAGATAAGCGCAGAACCGTCCAACGGTCCGAGGATCAACAAAGAAACCAAATTCAGAATCCATGGATATCACGCTCGCCGAACACTTTTCTAAACGACCTGGTCGACAGTGAAGCAAAACACTAAAACAAATATGAACATAAATACTAAGCATTGCGTTTGTCACCCCGTTCACAAGAAGGCTGCGTTGTTTCTCAAGCTTCCTGCCGGCTCCCTCTGCATACTGTGCAGCTCTTCCCATTCCCGCTCCACCGCTCGGTTCAAGCTCACTCGGCGTGATTTGGAATCGAAAGGAATGGAGTAGAGTGAAGGGCTTTTTCGCGATGACTGTCCGGCACCAGCTATGTCGCCGTGGGTGTAAAAGCCGGTCTGATACCAAGGGCGTGAGCTCCCGCCGAGCTGCCGCTCAGTGGGCGGATCGTTCTCTTTCCCCAATCCTGGCCCTCCATCGAACCGTTTCGGCTCATCCAAGCTTACTTCGCTGTAGAAGCGAGGCAGGGGCGCAATCGTCTCAGAGTAGTTCTGCGCCAGACTCGATTGGCTGGGCAGTTTGCCCACGGGGCGGGGTGGCCCCATGTCTGAAGATTCTTCGGACAGGCTATGTAAATAAGCCGACTGACGATGATCATCCGTGTAAATGGAGGCA